TTCAGTTTATTCTTCGACATTCCCAGATCTCTTGCTTACTCCTTCATAGTCAACTCTCTTTGATTGGCTGAACTTACCCAATTATAATTGACTTCAATGTGCGAGTCAAAGAAGACCATAACCTCGCCGGTGGCAACCTTAGCGCCCGCTAGACGTGCTCCAATCAGGCCACGTCGCTCGGGATTGCACCACGTCAACTAAATCGGGCCACTGTAGAGCGACATAGTCATCCAATTGTTGCTTAAGCGTCTCCCACTCACTGCCATCGTCCACGAGCACAATTTGCTTAAGCAGCTCGGGAGGCGTGCGATTGACGATGCTGTAAACGGAGCGCAGAAGCGTCTGAAAGTGTTCGTTGTAGAAAATGAAGATGACACTGACATTGGGCAGCTTGGCCAGATATTTGCGCGACTTGCAACTGTCAAAGAGAGCACAAATTGTGAGCAACTGATGCGGCAATTAATATGAGCTACGCTTACGCCTCTTTTCGCACATCTGGCACTGAGCGATTCACCGAGATTCTGTCGGAGAGGTAGCCATTGAAGCCATTCCTGCGGTATTCCTGCTGTTCCAGGTCTCTTTCCGAGGGATCAATGGTGGCTGGCTGTCCGTGTTCGCCCATGCCGATGCGTGCTTTGTCCGCTTCCATTGCCTTGTAATCGTGCCAGTCCCTACGCTCGCCCAGCGGCGTTGGCAGCGTAAACATTTTCAGTACCTCTGGCTGGGGGTGCTCCACTTGCTGGTCCGGCTCAGGATCACGCACAGAATTCCGATCCTGAAACGGTGGGCGGGCCTGTCGACGCATCGGCTCCACATGGGCAGCACGAAATTGCGGCGTTATCGGATCTCCGTTTGGATCCAAATTACTTTCGTCCACCTCGTCCGATGGCTCGCTTTGCCCAGACGCTTCTCCACAATCACTGTGGTCAGCAGCGAGATGAACGCGATGATCATTATGAGAAAGATGAACTTGCGCATCAGGCGCTTCACCTGGCGCTTCTTTATGGCCATGGCCAATACGTTTTGCAGCTGTGAGTCTTCGTTACAGAATGGTTTCATGCCCGAACGGCCGAGCACATTGAGTCAACTGCAACTGCGTGGCATGGATGTCCATTAATCTAATTGCAACTTTTTGTATCTCATTTTGTTTTTTCTTTTTCTTTTGTTTTTTTTTTGTTGTCTGATAAGGTGTAAGGTAACTTAATTTTGCCCCGCTTGAACATCATTCTTCAATATCAATCAGAGAGCTATCTCTTAGTTCTCGTGCCAAGGCCCAACTAACTGTAAACCAGCTGCCAACTACTTTCAACTTCCACTCACCTGTTTCGAGAACGATACGAGCGCTTTTACGATGTCGCCATCTGGCGGAACTAATTTGAAGTTATCAAATAAATTTGAAGCGCTGATAACGTCAACTACACTGCAAGAAAAGATATGGTAGTTAGCTTTTTCGCTTCTTACATTATATAATTCTTTTTATTTTTCTTTTCTTTTCTTTCTCTGGCTTTCAAATTGCAATCTTCATTTACTGGAAGAGTAGATTTCGCCAAGCAGCCCGCCTTGTTGAGCTGTTGCAGCCAGTTTTATGGTTAATAATAATTTATTTTAATCATTTTGTAGGCTCGATATGATCAATGTTTATACATTATGTAGCAGATGTTGCACACAGTTTACATTCTGGCGTTTTTAGCTCAATGGCAGCTGTTGTCTACACCACTGTGCCAACAGTTCTAAGCAAATACACTAACACACATACATACATATATGGTTTCGCATTTAAACGCATATTTATTGTACAACGCGGCGTATTCGCAATAAATTCTCACAAAATTTCGACGCACTGTGGCAATAAAATGACATTTTTTCATATTACACACATAAAGTCAATGCCAAAAACGTTGCCGTGTGAAACACCAGTTAGTAGGTGGAGCAGAGTTGGGCTTTTTTACATTTTTATGGCCTTTGCTTTCATACCATGTGAAATATTTTCAAAGCGGACATATTTGTACACGAATAAATATATATATATATATATATATGTATTGGTACACATATGGGTGTGCAAAATACTGTGTATCCATATTCTTGATATGAAAGCTGATGTGCGATAATAAAAGCAACAACAATAAAGCAAAAAAATGAAACGAGTTAGCGAATATCTAATGCTCTAATCATATGACAAATAAAAAAGATATATGCTTTAAAAAATGATATTCTTAAGCACATTTAAAATTGAAATATATCTGAATAAGTTCATAGAATTCCAAGCTGTTACGAATTGCATTAGGCATTCGATATGCCCCATTGTAGGGCATGCAGAAGAGCAACAAATACAACTGCGCCAGTTGGCCGCATTTGACAGCTGCGGCTGCTGGTTGTTGGGTTTTCAGTTGAGCTTCTGCTTTTGGCTGGTTCAACTGCCAAAATGTTTGTCGCGGCTAAAAGCGCAGCAAAGCAATAAAAGCCAAATATTGTAAATTTTATAAACATTTTGGCGGCAGATAACAATGTGCAGGAGAATATATATATATATAAATGTAACAGATACATGTATATAAGTTTACAGTTAGATAAAAGATACTTTATGTAAAATTTCTACAATAATTGGCTAATAATTTAATTAAAATATTAGAAGGCAGAAATTAATTAGTACAAATACAGCTGCGTCTAATAGCGTATATATTTAGATATTTGACAATGTTGAGCATTTATGCTTGCTTATCTTTTAATTATTGTCATTGCTTATCACGAACAACATCTGTCAACCTGTTGCGTTATCTGGCACTCGCCGTTTGCTATCAAATTGCCAACTGCTGTTATCAACACGCTGATTGCAATCGATGTATGCATTATTGAAATAATAATAATCAAGTACCAATTACTAATAGTCTTTATGTTATGAGAATTTTAATTAAATTAAGCTGTTTTGCAAGAGAATTAGAGTATTAAAAATTAATTAGAAAATTGAAAAATGTAACTTGCTGCTGCTTTTTACTCGAAGCTGTCGATACTTTATTGAAACTGTTAAAGCAATGCATAACCTCCTCGCTTTTCCTAAAATGTTCTCTCTAGTTTTATGGTGCATAGATATTTCATTCAGATTAAAACTGGATAATAAGTATTTAAAAAATATATATATATATATTAAGCTGCAAAATATGTGATAAAATTTTAAAATTTGTTAAATTTTGGTTTATTTTTGTTTTTCACTCAATATGAAATGATAAAATAATTACAATATTTATTTAAATTAGTATAGAAAAAGTAATATAGAAAGTAACAAATGATCGTTCATCTGCTTCAAGCTTTCCTATATTAGCCAAAAAATAATTCAATAAACTCAGCAGATTTTCATTACCAAATGCTTCACAAATTTAGCTGTAAATTGATGCAGGAACTGAAATTTATCTTTAAGTACAGTTTGTTGGATTTCCAGTTACTTATTTAATAATAAATATAAAAATACTTTTTATCCAATTTTTCGTGGCTTTTAGTCAAACACAAAGCACTAAAAAGTTTATGTCTAACAATTAGAAACACAACTAATGTCGAGCTAAATAATAATAATATAATTGTTTACTAACTGATTTTGTTAAAGCTTAACATTTTGTTTCATTAGCAAGCAGATTTTGCGCGTTTGGCCTTGCTGAAAGTTGTTGCATTAGGTGGCCATGGCTCCAAAAGTATTTCCCAGGCATTTGCACATGCATTATAAATAAATAAAGCGCGGGGCTCATATAAATTTACGCGTTTGTAATTACGTAGAAATTAAGCTGGCATCAACATTTAATTGCTAAAAGCCCCAGACGCAGAATCAACCTCTATATATCTGCGTGTATATGTGGGCGTGCAGCCACGCATGCTAAAAAGGGAACGAACATTTAATTAACAAATTTTACGCATTTATTTTCTATTTTCATACTACGACTACGACGACGATGCTGACCAAACCGGCAAAAAAACCGTGACAACATAATTTGCCTGACCCCACCGCATCGCCACCAAAAATAAAATGGCGGCGACTTTGTGCCAACAACAACAACAACTAATGCCAACCACATCCACAAACCACAATCGGCACAGTGAAAACGAAGGACATTGATGCCGTCGAGGGCAAATCTGTGTCGCTGCCCTGCCCCATTGCCGAGCCCCCTGCATGATGTTTATATGGTCTTATGGTTTCGTGATAATGCGGGCATACCTCTATATAGGTGAGTACTATTCCACACACATACATACGCTCTCTCGCTCTCTCTCTCTCCTTGCTCTTTCTCCTTGTTTATGTGTATGCCCGCCTCATTTGGCTTATTGTCTGCCTCAGTCTCTGTGTGTGTGTGTTTATAAGCATTTAATTAAATGCAAACGAGCCTCGAGAGCAGCTGCCTTTAAACCGTGCGGCCCCCGCATCGCACAAAAGTATGCTACAGTAATTTTCTGTTATGCCCTGTACAATTTTTGGCAAATGGGCATATCAGTGTGGCAAACAAAGTTAGTGAAATTTAATATGATTTAGTAGCTGTCACAATTAGTGTGAGTTTCTTACCTAGACTCGAAGTCAGGTCTCTACTTATATCGCCCACACATTCCAGGGTATTGCCGCGTCGAACAGGCGCATTTAGTGTAATTAAACTTAAGCTGTTTATTTTTTGCACCTGCTGCCTGGCAGCTGATAAGTGGCCTTTGGTCTCTGGATATGTGATTTAACTTTTGTGCGTAAGCGTGTGTCTGTGTGTGTGTTTTTGTTGTCACAAAGCGCACAGTAAATTAACTTAATTATATTTACCTAATTTCCTAATTAACCTCAGACGTAAAGCCACAAGAATTATGTGAATAAATGACGTTGAACTTCTTTTATATGGATTTTGGCATTATTGTTAAGCTGTTGCTAAGCTTGTGGCTATTTCAAATTCTTGTTGCTATTTGCTGCTGCTGCTGTTGTTGTTGCTGTTGCCTGGCCAGCAACAATCAGGCAGTTCATAAAGAACTCTATGTGAAAGTGCATAGGTCGAGCTGGCCCACTCCCTGCAGTTGGTCTACTAATTGCATTCACGACATTTTCACGCCACGTTGCGCCTTTTGGCTGTCAAATGCAATATTTAAGTGCCATATCTAGCTCTAGGAATACTAAGCGAACTTTTGACTTGGCCACGAGCAGTGGCACAAGTAGTTCAAATATTTGCTAAAAGTTTACAAAATGTAGACAAAATTTGGAAGCCACAAGAAGGGACTTTGGAGAGGGCTTGACATTTGTAGAAATATATAAATTACTGTTATAGATGAGGATGCTTAGCTTCCATTTAATACAGTCTTTATATATATATATTGATATTGATTAGAGACAGAATAGTAAATGAAATAATATCAATACTTGAGCAATAAATAATATCAAGGCCTTAGAAGACGACCTATGTCTCGCAGTTGGTCTTCTTCTAAAACGATTGAATCTACGTAATTAACTTCTCGTTAACTTAGGACTCTCTCCAGTCAAAATCACATCCACAGTGCATTTAAATTTTATTTTCTGAGCATTTTCATTACACTCAATTTGCTTGGGTTCACGTAGCATATTATTTGGTCATAAACATTTGCAGCATAGGCCCCCAAGAGCAGTTATTAAGCTTAGGACCCATAGAATTCCCACAGCACGCTTCACTCTCTTTAGCCGCATTTTCGTTTTTTTTTAATATTATTTTTTTAGTTTTTAATTAAAATGGCAGCAAGCAACAGAAGAAAAAAATGAAGAAACTGAAGGCAAATGCAACAAAATTGGGTTAACGTGGCTCTCGCTTTCACACTAAGTCATTCTGCTGGCATCTCGCCCTCTCTCTTGCTCGCTCGCTGTTGCTTTTACTTGAACTGCTGCCCGCTTGGCACGCAGCAATTAAGTTGTTGCATTTTGCACTGTCGCCGTCGACGTCAGCGCCGTCGTTGGCTGCCCGCATAAATTATTGCGTGTTGCATACAAAAGTGCGCTTAACGGCCCACTTGCCGCAGAGGCTCTCAAAAAGTGGCTGCTACAATAACAGCAGCAGCAGCAACAGCAGCAACAACAGCAGCAGAAACAACAACAAACGCAATTAACCTCCACAATACTTGACTTTCCCTTTTCTGGTACTCATTGTCGTAGCTTGGCTACGCAACTCGGCTAACAACTGTTGTCATAAATTTAAAAACAAAAACAATTATCAGATATGATTTAGGAATATAGCGAAAATTTATTTTTGAAGTGTATGCTTTTTGTATTAATGAATATAAATAAGTATAGAATAGTTAGAACAATACTATATTATAGTATAAATACAATAAATATGATTAAATAGTTAATTTAATTTTTTATTAACAAAACATATTTTATTTATAAGACTAAAACTTGGAATAGGCTCGCAAAGAAGTGAAAGTAGAAATTAGACTAAAATAAATTGCTAAAATAAATGTCAAACTAAAATGTTTAAAAGGTGATTAGAATTTTTATAGCTTGGACAATATTTTAAATATTTTTAAAAAGCTTAAATAATTTAAGAGCTTATAAAGTTTTTATATTAAATGGCAGCTAGCTACACAGTACCTCTTAAAATTAAACATTATATTTTTATATGTTATATTTAATTTGGTTTTTTTTTTGTGGTTTTAAAACAGAGCAAATTTTTTTTATTTTATTTGATGAAATATTTAAAGCGTATATAAAACACAAAATACACAGAAAAAAACTCAAAACTTAGTAAATTTGTTTAAATCAAAGAGAGAGCGAAGAATCTGTCTAAAATTATGAAACTTTAATTTTAATATGCAAAGAATTTAGTACGTTAACATACTGAAAAAAAACGAACAAAATTAACTTGCATTTGCTAAGCTAATTGGGAATATATATACACATAAATTACACATATATATGATATATATAAATATATATAAATTTATCGATTGTTTGTTTGCAAATGAGATTCATGCAAATATTTATGGCTGCATAAAGTTCCATAGCGCAAAGCTCAAATGCGAGGCAGGTTTATGGCCATTTCGAATGAAACTGCAGCGCTCAGCATTTGGCCAGGTCTTAAGTGTTATGGCCTTCTCTATGCTGCTGCTGGTGCTGTTTTAGCCTAGGTAAGAATTGGCGCATTTAATGCAGCAGCAAGAGGAAGCAAATTGAAAAAATTTTTATCTGCGGGCCCATAAATTCTATTTTGGCAGCCAGCCCGTGGCACGAGCATCATCCGCTTCTTTTCTCTCTCTCTCTCTACCTATCCCTCTCTCTCTCTCTGTGTTTCTATTACTCTCTAATGAGCAGGTTAGAAATAAATGAGGCTAATTTTTGGCGCGCACAATTCTCAAAATGAGAATAACAAAATTCAATTAAACATATAAAAACAAGAGTTCGAGCTGCATATACACACACACACATCAAATATATATATATATATATATATATATATATATATATATATATATATACTGTGTATACTGCTGTGAATTCCAGAGTTTATATCAAATTGACTTCATTTTGTCTCAACTAAAATATTTACGTTCCAGCGTGATAATAATAATGATTTTCCCTTCCTCTCGCTTCTTTTTGCAGCTTCGATGTGCGCGATAGTATGGCCATTGAGCAGCCCAGACATTGGTCAGCTCCGGAGGTGTTCGGTTCACGTGCCAAATTTCATTTTGAATCGCAGCCAGCCACATTGGAAATTAAGGTAAGATTCGCCTCGGTTAACCGGCAACTCACGGTTGCTTTTTACCTTTTTGTGTGAGTGAAAAAATACGATTGCGACCTTAATGAATTTTTCAAATATTCCATACAATTTGAGTGTATTTGAGAAATGGTCCAAAGTGCAACACATTAACTTTGCAAAACAAACATTTAGCTTGAAATGCGTAGTAGGAAAACTAAGTGTAGAGTAGTTAGGATGATAGACTAGAATATGCCCTGTACAGATCTTAAAACTGCGATAGAATATGCTGTGTAAGCAGTAGAAATCACAGAAGGAAGTCATAATATAATATCGTTTTTTATATTATATATAATAAGAGTATTTTTTAATGCATTCCTAACTAAAAGTTAACCAAATATTCAGTGCATATTGTGGCCTAATTGAAGGGAAGCTTTTTCCCATCGAATTCAGTTAGTTGTTCCATAGCATTTGAAAAGGGCTTTCCAATTTGGAAAATCTGCAAATGGCAATTGGCATTGCGAATGCGTGTTAAGAATTAAGTCAGCGCGAATAACAGCAAGCGGATGTACCGAACATTTTGCAAATGGGCAAAATGGCGGAATGGAATGCCAAATAACGTTAGAAAGCTGCGACTGCGACGCTGGCTGCGCCGGCGACGACGACTGCGGCTGAGGCAATGCGAAAACAAATTTAGATATCAAAAGTTGTTAAATTGCCTCGCGCACGCGAAATGTTTATTAATGTCTTGCATGTTTACAGATAACTTGATTTACCGTTATTGTCATGCAATGCATATAGACACACACACACACACACAGAGACATACCAGAGACACGCTGTGTGTGGCAGCTACTTGAACTAACGCCTCAGCATGTCTTTGCGCCACAAACCGTTGACTTTTAAAGGCCAACTTGACTTGGGTTCGGGTTCCTGGCTGTTGGAATCCTTGGACAATTCCTGGCTTAAGACAACCTGCTGGGAAGGCTAACGAGCTGCATGTTCACACACGCACACACAGGGAGTTGAAAATGAATGTGAAATGCACACGAAATGGCAGCCTGAAGGATTCCTCTATAAATTTGCCATTCGCGGTTGCAGCAAGATAGAACAGAAAATCATATATGTATGTTATATATACATATATATATATATATATGCATATATAACTCAAATAGTCCCATGAATTATGTGCGACAAATGGTTGGCATCTGGATGAGGAGTTGACTTTATAAATGAATTTTAATTGCCACTCAATTGCCGGGAAATTAACCTAACGCCAGGATGACTATAAATTACAAACAAGTAGTTAGAGAATACATCCACTCTAGCATATGCAATACGTTTGATTTTATCAATGAACAGTGGGAGCAGAGAGTAGGTCGATTATAAATTAGCATTGAATCGGGATTTTTAATTTCAATAATAATTTATTAAATTAATTTTATATTATTGTGAAGACTCCAAAGAGGCAGAACTCAAGCAGCTACCTCTGAGACACATACATTATATTTAGTAAACAAAAGTCACGAATTAGAACAAGTCTAAAACCCTTAGTTAGCTCAGTTAATTTAGTAGTAACTCATCTAAAGATGTCCCAACAGCAAAGTAGTTATTATTCTGAGAGCACATATAGCTAAATTACAAATGAACTAGTCAAGAAAAAAGAACTAGTTCAATTTCTATATTTAGCATTTGCGCAAAAGAGCTTTGCTGCTCAATAAGCCAAAAGAACCAGCCTGAAGCACCAGTTCTTTCAGCATTTGTGCTATAAAAGCTTTATTTATTTATGCATTAAGATGCTACAACTAGTTACATGTCAAAAGCACTAGTTCATTGAGCAAGCACAACTTGTCTTATAGAGTTTAACTAAACATTAAGTAACGTTACGATAAAAACGAACGAGTGCCCTGCTCTAAACAGACTTGTAGTAAATACCTGTTAGTTTGTAAATAACAATGAACTAGAACTAACAATGCACTGCTCTGCGGAACTAGTTCATTTGTTATAAGCACACAGGCTGAATTGAAACCATTCATTGACTGAGCTGCTCAGCCATAATTAAGTGAACTGAGAGAACTAGTTGGCAATTTGAACGCTTAGCCAGGACTAAGGCTTACGATGTATATCTGAAGTTGGCATGGCACAGACCACAGAGTCCTGCGACTTGGGTGACATGAAATAATTGAAAATTACATGGCTGCAAGCAGAAACAACTGTGTTATGTGGGTGAGCAGGTGTGCCGTCGTGTAGGCGTAAGAGTGTGTGTGTATGCTAATCAGCTGTTTCCTTTCACATTCACACACACACACACACATATACACACGTGTATATTAATTTATCGTATGAAATTTTGCAGGATGTCAAAAGGCATGATCAAGGCATTTACCGTTGTCGTGTCGATTTTCGCACAGCTCAAACACAAAGCTTCCGTTTCAATTTGTCTGTAATAAGTGAGTATCTAAAATGCACACACACCGACACACACACACACACACACTATATGACATACCTATCTACCTATCAATTGTTGCCGTTGTTTTTAGTACTTCCGGAGCAGCCCATCATACTGGACCGTTGGGGTCGTCAACAGAATGGCACACAATTGGGTCCCAAGCAGGAGGGCGATGATATTGTTATCACTTGTCGTGTGGTGGGCGGTAAGTAAGCCCAACTATCCTTGCTTAACCCCATTGCCAATGGACACGCCTCCTATTTCTTTATACTTTTTTGGTTGCTCTGCCTCACACACACACATGAGTATATCCGCTCGACCGGCTAGACAATTTCCTGTTAATTTCCTTAAAAGCTTTGGCAAAAAAAAAAAAAAAAAGAAGAAAAATAACTGAAAAAATCCTCAAGCCGCACTTTGACCGAAAATGAAAATATCACAAAGTTTGCTTTTGCTTAGCTTTCGTTTTTCTTTGCGCCATTTTCTCTCTCTTTATTTTAGCCCTGCCAAAACTTGACTTTTTAATTTGCGCTCCCTATACGCTGCCTCTATATATGTGTATATACAATTGTGTTTTCCTTTCGTCTCTTTCGACTCGATTTGATAGGTCGACCGCAACCGCAGGTCCGCTGGCTCGTAAATGGACTACTTGTCGACAATCAAAACGAGCACAATTCCGGCGATGTTATCGAGAATCGACTGTTGTGGCCATCGGTGCAGCGCAACGATTTGAATTCCGTATTCACATGTCAGGCATTGAATACGCAATTAGATAAGCCCAAGGAAAAGAGCTTCATACTGGATATGCATCGTAAGTGGACTACACTCAAAATTCCTAGCGCCTAGATACAGTTCGCTGCACACAGCTGACCCAAAACAAAAGAAAAGTAAAGCGGAAAAGTACGATTAATTAAGCTGAAAAGAAAGATGGATAAATTACTTCGATATATTTATTTCAATAGTTCAGTAAAGATCAAATTTTATATGCAGGTCAAATACATTAACTGAACTGTTTTAGTTGAATCTTAACCTTTTGCAATTAACAAGTTAATTTGACAAATGAAAGTAAAGCAGAAAAGGGAGACTAATTAAGGGGAAAATTAATATAGATATATTATTCAGATATATTTATATCAATATTTCAGTAAAGATCAAATTTTATATATATTCTAAGTAGGTCAAATACATTAATTGAACTGTTTTAGTTGAATCTTAACCTTTGCAATTAACAAGTTAATTTGACAAATGAAAGTAAAGCAGAAAAGGGAGACTAATTAACAGGAAAATTAATATAGATAAATTACTCAGATATATTTATATCAATATTTCAGTAAAGAATAAATTTTATCTGCAGGTCAAATACATTAATTTAATAATTTAATTAGACAAATAAAAGTAAAGCAGAAAAGTAAGACTAATTTAGTTAATTAAGAGAAAAATAATATAGATAAATTACTCAGATATATTTATATCAATAGTTCAGTAAAAATCAAATTTTATATATTTTCTAAGCAGGTCAAACACATTAACAGTTTCACTGGAATCTTAGCCCTTGCAACTAACAATTCAATTAGACAAATGAAAATATTATTGATCAAGGCGAACGCTCTTAATTATTTCCAGAGCATTCGGTCAACAGCTTGTGTAAACATAAACAAATCCAATGCAATATATTTCATGACTTCACGATTGTAACGCAACATAAACAAGGAACAAGTTGAATATTGCCCATGCGCCGTCCAAGTAGCCATTAAATAATTACCACGTTTACAGTACAGAAATGAATGAATGAAGGGGCGTTAGACCTAGCATTAACCTCGCTCTATTTTCTGCTGCACTCGTGCTGGCCATTAGGCATGCAGAGGTGCGAGAGCAGGTATGTAGTCGGCACTTGAGTTGAGACGGCTCTTAGATGCTATCGTACGTGGAGTAGATACAAATTGTTAAAGCTCTAGATTATTTATATAAACCTGACATGCTATAAACAGGTGCAATAGGTCAAAGAAGCGAGAGCTTATAATTACAAGTTGAAGAAATGTTCAGAGAGAATGTTCAGAATAGCCTTGGGATAATATCTACTGCTAATTTATATGTTAGAAGTTCTGAGATCAATGCTAGAGATATCCCACACACTCTTCTATCAATAGCAATTTATCGTAGTTGGTTTAAATGCCATTATATAAATTATGAACTTTTTGTTCACAGTAAAACCATTAACCGTAAAAATTCTGGAGCCGCCCAGTTCAATGATTGCCGATCGACGCTATGAAGTTACCTGTGAATCGTCCGGTTCACGTCCGAATGCCATCATCACCTGGTACAAGGGAAAACGTCAATTGCGACGCACAAAGGTGAGTAGCGGGTGGGCGATTGGCATTGAGTTAAGGTATAGGGGAGCGTAGGCTTGACTCGCACCCGACCGCAATTGGCGTAGCTTGGCCAACACTTGTGGTGTAGCCACTGCCAAGGGTTACTAAAGGGGCTGTTGACTGACTCACGGTAAGTTATTGTATTTGCATAGGCAAGCCACAGTCACATACACACACCCACACCCACACACACACACAGGCACAGCCACACTGCAGCTCGTAACTCTTGGAAAAAGGGGGCGCAACACCCACTTGTTGTCCCTGGGCGTGGCTCACACTCGCCGCGCTCCGCACTCACCGTTAGAATAAACACAGATAATGTGATATAAACTCCACAATACACAACGTGCAGCAACGCCTCCCCGTCGCCCACTGCCACTGCCACGCCACGCCCCGCCCCGCCCGGCACCCGCAATCCTTTGGTTTTTCATTTTATTTGCTACGCTTTTCCTTTTGCCATTTTCATTCGTTGTTGTTGCTGCTGCCTTTGTTTTGCCTTTTTTGTTTCAACTTTGGACAAATTTATGGGAGTTTTAGCGCAATTTTGTTGCAATTCATTTTTGTGCCGCTCCGCTGTTGACTTACCCCAACGCCGCCCCTTCCGCCCGCCCCTGCCAAAAACAGTTGTTGTTTATGTCCATGTCTGTCCGCCTTATATGCATACTCGTTTATGCATACCAGCGCTGATTGCTTTGCCGTTTGCAGCTGCACTCCTTTAAAGGCCGGAAATGTTTTTCACTAGTTTTTCACGTGGCATAAAGTTGCCGTAATGCGGCAAAAGGCCGCCCTCTAGTCTACGGCAGCCAGACAGACCGACACACACACACACAGACACAGGGAGACAGCGAGAGTCGGGGGAACAGTCAATGTACTGGACATGCTTTTGCTACATGCCTTTTGGTGCCTTAGTTTCCACTCTAATGTGTGGACGATGTGGGTGGCTTTTATGTGTATGCCTCCCTCACTCTCTGAGTGTGCCAGACATAGCATAAAACTAAAGTCTAGCAACTTCATATGGAGCACGACATTAATCAACGTTTCGGGGCCAACGACTTAGCCGACAATCGAGTCGTTCGATACGAATTGCAGCTAATTAGATAGTCCGAACGTTGGCCCAAAACATGTTCTATGCATTGCTACAAAATAGCCAAAGTTTATAACTAGGTTAAACTATTTTCCAAAACTTATTGATAAATAGGGCAGGCATTTGAGTTAATTCAATTATTATTATATTATTATTATTCTATTATCTTATTCTACTATTATTTATATATATTTTAAATATTTCTAACTCTAAACTTTTAGTTTTTTATGTTGGCCATTTATTTCGCTAACGGTTCAGCTATTAACACCTTCTGAAGAAGCAACTGCAAAAAACGTGCCACTACAACAGCCCCCCACTTACTTTGGCATGTAGTTGTATGTGCATATTTCACGCCTTTTGCAGTCGTTTAGCAAGTTTCGGTGTCTGGCCGCCAGGGGGAGACACCCGCCCATGCAGGCACGTTTAAAAACGAACAATTTTATGACCTGTTCAACTAACAGCAAGAATAACGACTACAACAGCACAACTAATTATGTGTTGTTGCTGTTGCTTGGCGCTATAAAATTTATAATACCCACACAAGGCACATAAAACCCAAAGTATACAGCAATAAATTTTAAATTGCAAACATAAAATATTTCGACAAATTTGCAAAAAAAAAAAAACACACACACAAAGAAAACAATGAACTGAACGCCTTAGGACATTTTTTTGGTGTAAAGGGGATTCCACACTCGCTGCTCTCTCTCTTTTGCTCTAAGGCCGAAACTTAATTAATGCGAAAACACATTTTGCAGGACGACATATCAAAGAACTCGACACGCTCCGAGCTGAGCTTTGTGCCCACCACAGACGACGATGGCAAATCGATAACATGCCGTGCGGAAAATCCAAATGTGAACGGCCTCTATTTGGAGACCATGTGGAAATTGAATGTCGTTTGTAAGTATTACAAATTGTGTTTAAGTCTAAAATATATATATATATACATATATACTTATATACTGTGTACGCTGAAAGTAACGAAAAAAAGTAAGCATTTGCCGACAGCTAGCAGAAAGGTAGACAGCCAGCTAAAATTTATTACGTCGTCGTCGACGCCGTTGAAAGCCTTTAAAATGCAAATAAATCAAAGACAAATGACAAATTGTGAATAATTTGCCATGGGCCAGAAGGCAGCCGCCACGTTACCACCCAAAAAAACAGCCCCAGCTCCCACTGCCACTCCATACCTTTGCACATACAAACCGCTCGCGGAGAGCATTTCAGCGCCCCAAATGAAATATGTGGGCTAACAAAATGTATGGCAGGCGCTTAAATTAAATGAAGGACTTTACGTACTCATACCCCCGCTATGCTACTCCAAAACAAAATTCAAATATCCCCAAAGAAAAATCATATCAAAGCAAATGTTTTGCCCAGGCTAAGATGATTTTCTAGTTCTAATCAGGCGCTGTTAATGGCAATGGAAATGTTGTGGGAGCTATGGCTAGGTTGGGTTCTGCTGGGTTAGGGTAGGTTGAGCTGGGTTAAGGGTGGGCGTTAACTTAGGTCAGCTTAGGCTAGGCTGGAGTAGCATATTGATTTCGTTAGGTCAAGTTTGGTCAGGCAAGCTGGGGCTAGGATATGTTTACGTGCACTAGATTATCTCTTGAGATTGAGTTATGTAATATAGGGTTCTATATCATATGATAAAGATAAGTTCAGTTCACAGTAAAGCATAGACTACAGACCATTTCTAAATACAAGTTCAGCTTTTGAATAGATGTGCTTTTAGCCGAGGAAAAGAAGCAGAGTTGAGAATACTTTACCCAGTTGAAAATTTAGATATTGAATACTTGACAAGGCCGATCTTTAAGCTGCGTAATGCTTCGACTCAAAAATCAAAGCAAAATCTATAAAGATCGTAGTTAAAGATTAACAAACTGCCAAACATGCTGTTGGCCCAAATTGCGCAGTCAATAGGTCAATAGACGCCAAAGTAAGCACTGCGGACATCGTAAAGTGCCAAAGTCGGAGTTGTGTTTGAGTTTGCGTTACGTATACGTCGCGTTGTATTTTATTATTTCGACTGTGTGTACGTTGTGTGCACACACACAAACACAAACACACGCACACTCCCATGTGTGTGTGTGCGGCACATCACGTAATGTTGTTTCTTTGCTTTTCACTTGCTCAAATATTAAATTTTTACTGCAATCTGCTGACGTCGCAAAGAAAAGAAGAAAATACATAGCAAGAAAAACATGTTGCTGTTTAGGCCTGATATCAAGCAAAACATATATATATATATTTAATATATGTATAAGGTGATATTATTATATTTTTTATGCGCCACACATACTTCTTGGCTTCGCATTTTATATTTTAGAAAATTATTTTTTATTTGTTTGTTTTTGTTGTTGTTGTTGTTGCTTTTTCGCCTTTTAGGCAATGCCGTTCGTAACATTGACGCAAATAAAGTTTATGATCAGCACGTACGACAGCATATTCATATATAAATAAACACACACCCACACACGCACACACCCAGAGACACACAAGGCAAACGCTTGATTTTTAAAGCAAGTAAAATATATGCATATATAAATTATGCTTTTTAATTTGAGCACATGTAATACCCTACAGTCATTTGATTATGTCTTAAAAAAGTGTTCCTATAAAATGATAATGCATTTTTATAGTCTCGATTTAAGTCTTAATCAGCTCGACTGTAGCTTAAATGATGTGCTCAAACGAAGCTTGAAATTTTCCTATGTATTATATACTAAGGAAAATAGTTATATAAAATATTTTTGAAACAGTTTTTTTGTATATTAATTATTATAATTTAATTTTGATTTATTTCAATCAAGTTTGAGTGATAGTTTGGCTGGTAAAAACGTTTGAGAATTCATAAAGAATTTTTCTAATTCTCCTGAAATGATGCCTTGCTGATCTCTCAGATATATATTTACTTCAAACTTGATTCCCTTAGAAATTTCTACTGTCTATAGAGCAGCTTTGAGTCGTTTATGTGTTTTTCAACTCAATTATTTATGTTTCGTATTTTTAATTTGAACTCACATGGCAAATATGTTCCGCATCGTTTCGCATTTGTTGCTTATGCTGTCGTGTTGTGTTGTGGCATGTCCTTGTTGTTATCCTGTTTGCTGTTGTTGTTGTCCTTTCTATGCGATATCTCTATTCAGCATCATGCCTGAGTTATTATGCCAACTTCGTTTTGGCTTCTTAGGCACGGCATTTGGCAAGGCCATTTGCCATGCTTTATGCCAGCCTGAAGAGGGGTGGGCGTGGCAGTGTGGTTGCTGCTGTTGCTGCATTCCGTACGTATAATTTTCTTTATGTGTAAGTGCGCGCGCGCGCTCTGTGTGTGCGTATGTGACACGCTCGTTTTAAAATTTATAATGTGGCCCCGGCAAACAAGGCAGCAGGACAACAAAACATGCAATGCAATCACAGACATAGAGATTCCCATGAGCGCACTACACAGACAAGATATTTATGTGTGTGTGTGTGTGTGTGTGCATGTCCCTCGACCGTTGTTTATGGCTGGGCTACATTGGCGCTCGTGCTGTGTGCGTGCCTCGCATTTTGGAAAAGCGAAAGCATCGCGATATTTTTCTCAATGCTGCAATTCGAGTTGATATTTTTAAAGTGGACGCACGCCAGAGCATAGCAATAGAAACGCCAGCTTATGCTCTCTAGTTATGATATATGCGCACATATAAAAATATCTCTCCATATATGCATATATGTGCATATATATATAAGCCTGCGAGCCAATCAGCCAAGATTGCCTTAAAGCTGTGAGCTCCAAAATTATATTCAGCTGTACTTTTTGCTCTACTTATGCTCCAAATGTGGCACAGGCTATGATTGATGAACCACTGTGGAGAGAGCATGGCTATGCAGAGGGATTTGAGAACGAGCATTGGCATAGCAGAAATAGATATTAAAAGCAATTTGTACGGAAGCAATTGATGTGTATCAAATATTTGAAATATTGCGTTGGAAAGTAAAGCAATTAATAAGGAATAGAATATACAAGACAAGTAGAAGGTTATAGCAAGCCATGGATGTGCTAGGCATAGGCACAAAAAAATACATATTAAAATAAAAATTATAAAAGGAATATATACAAAATTAATAGAGTAAGCATAGATTGAGAAATAATTATTTGAATAGATATGGGCATAAGAAAGATAAGAATTAGTATGAGACGAATTTATTTATATACAAAAAAGTATATGAAAAGAAGAAATTTAGACAACACAGGCTTTGAGTTAAGATAAATAGTAATTTAAAAAGAAAAAAGATATAGAAATAATTATTTGAATAGATATGGGCATAAGAAAGATAATAATTTGTATGAGTTGAATTTATTTATATGCAACAAAGTATATGAAAAAAAAGTTAAGATAAAAAGTAATTTAATAAATTGAAAATCTACTAAAAGATCTAAATACTATACAACTTAGCTTTAACTTTCAGATAGTATTTTCCTTTGTGAAGCTTTGTCAATTCGAGAATCTGTAGAATAGTGTATCTTTATGCAAGCCACAGCTGCAATATTAAAAATCTGGTCCAGGTGTAAATTAATTGCAGCTGTTATTCCAGATATATTTGTGCTCAGATTTAAGTGCTTTAAACATTTTTATGGGAATGAAGCAAAACTTTGTTGTCCCTTAACTCTCAGCTCCATTCCATTTGCAGTTAATTTTTGGCTTTAAAAGCGCCGTAGCTTAGCCTTAAAATTGCCAAATCGCAGCGCTGCTCATATATCATTTCGTATGATATAATAAGGCAACTTTCATTTGCACATAAATTGCTGGCGGCTCGAAACGCAGCAGACGCTCGATCGATAGTCTAAAACCGAAAAGTGGGCGAGTTGGGGCAAGTTGTATGGCTCGTTCTCTGCTGTTTTTATTTGTGCAGTTTGCTGGCAGCTAACGGTAAATGATAATCACAAAAATGGCCTGCAACATGTGTGCGGAAATACGGCGTCGCGACTTTCGACGAAAGAGTTTTTGCAGCGGGTCCCTTTCGAGCACTTTTGCTGATTGGCAAGGCGACTGCCTGGGCTCAGACCTTTCCATGGATGATGACGCCGCGGCGAGTAGGGGCGGGCGCAAAGTAAACTTTGCGAGGCCATTCAAAAGTGAGCAAACTTTTGGCCTCATCGTCGTTGTCGTCGACGTCGTCTAACTCTTGACTGGCGCCGTTTGGCTTTGGCCGCCAATAACTCAACAATATTAAGGTTGGCACGTGGCACGTCCTTCCTTCAAATGTTCAACGTTCAACGTTCAACATTCTGGTTGCAGCCTTTTTGAGGTCCTCTACTCGCCTGTGCTGTGTTTGTCGCAAAGTTTGTGGCTCGTTAAGCAAATTCAAACGACTTAAGCGGCAACACATGTTCGCAAGCAGCGCCACAGGCCAGGCGAAACGATCCGTGTTACTTGTCCCCAGTTGCCATTAGGCTCTGTTGTTGCCACAACTCTTTGTTGATGTTGCTGTCGTTGCAGCAAATCGCTCATATTTGCAGGCACTATTAAATCAAATAGATCACTCGACTTATTGCGCAGAATGTGGCAGAGTAAAGGGGCACTAGATGCACAGCAGCAACATCTATTGAAAATAGCTCAAGTGTAACAGATTTTCATCTCAATCAATCAATCAAATTCTTATCCAGCTATGCCAAGCCTCTGCTGACTCTTATCAGCAGTTTATCATTTATCAATTTACAGCTTTCTTCTAATACCTTTCTATAATTGCTTGCAGATCCTCCATTGGTGACGCTGCGCTTGGGCTCCACATTGACACCGGATGATATCAAGGAAGGCGACGATGTTTACTTCGAGTGTCACGTACAATCGAATCCTCAATGGCGGAAACTGTTGTGGTTACATAATGTAAGTCGCGCCAAGCCAGCTGGAACTGAAACCCCAAGTACCCCAAACACACAATGGCAACAGGAACTGAGCTTCAGGTCGTGCTTGCGAGCTCGTGCTTCAGCCTGTGCTCTGTGCTCTGACCCCGGCTGTCTGCTTGGCTGCTCTCCATTCATTTGCTGTTTAAGTGTCAATAGCATTGGCTAGTTGCGTTGCAACTGCTGCTGATGCCAATGCCAACGCTGATGCAGAAACTGATGCTGTTGCTGTTCCCTGCTGCATTTGCTCATTTCAATTCATTTCACACCAAGAATGACGGTCGACAGGGGGTTGTAGTGTGGGGCCGGGGAGCTAAGAGTGACGCCGCCATATGCCGTTTCATTTCGTAAAATAGTTTTGGGATTTGCGGCATTGATTTTAGCAACGTTTTGGCTGTCGCTCACTTGCAGTTGCCGCCTTCCTTCCTCTCAATCAATCAGCAAAGAGCATACGTACGGCTAACTGACATGAAGTCAGCCAAGTTGTTGGCTGTTGCTTTAGTATTGAATGGTTTATCAGTGGCATGGACTTGAAGCTCGCCTCGATTGTTTCACTGCAGCTCAGGCAAATTGAAATTGCAAACGTTTGCCGAAAATATGACAGAAGCTGTTAAGAAAATGCTAGCCAAAGAGCGTTTGCGTGAATGATATATATTAATTGAAAATAGTTGAACTGACGGAAACTGGACAAGGAGAAAAGTGTATATATATCACCTATAGATCTTATATTTACCACCTTAGCAATACCACCTATAGATCTACGCTCTGTCACTAGAAATGCAAACTCCGAATTAGTTTATTTTCTTTTGACAATATTTCGACAACATTTTCTTAACCATGCACAGCAGACAGCAAGGCCTTGGCGTTATAATAATAATATTATTTTTGTTTCAAGCAATAAATATCTTTTCTTTATGTTTGTTTTCTCTGCTGCCTCCAACAGGGCATTCACTTGGAACACAATACGTCGGCTCGCGTCATACGCTCCAATCAGAGCCTTGTGCTGCAGAAGATAACGAAACATTATGCGGGAAATTATGCGTGCAGCGCCATCAACGACGAAGGCGAAACGGTCAGCAATCAGTTGCCGCTGCGCGTTAAATGTGAGTATAAATATGTATATTAAGAGAAGCTGCAACAGGCAGCATAGATCAGCCATATACCATAGAATCGCAGAGCGTTGTTATTACTTTTTTGTTTTCCTGCATTCATATATTGAAAGAGTCACAGATCAAGCAATACCCTGTAAACCTAGGCATTTCTTTCGTTTTCCCATTGCCTGAGTTGCTCTTGCGTGCAGTCTGTTGGAATGCCTCATCTGTCCGTGTGTCTGGCTGACCCTTTGAGCCATGTTTCTTATCATGAAGTCAGACAGCGACGTTGTCAAGCTGCAGCGACTGCTCCGCAGCTCTCTCAACCTTTACTTTTTTTGATGTATTGCCTTTTCCCCCTTTTTTGTTGCGCTCGACCGTTTTCATTTTACAACTGGAGCTCTTGAGCTGAACTCGAGTTGAGTTGTTGTCGCTGTCGTCGTCGTCGTCGTCTCGATGTGGCGCAGTTGCAAGTCAAGGCTGTGAAAATATTTTTCATTCCGTTTTTTGCATAAATACAACATTTTGCCAACAGCAGAAGCAGAAGCAGCAGCAGCAGCAGCAGCAGCAGCAGCAGCAGTAAACCGTCTCGCAGACCCTCATCATCAAACCCTTGCTTCGCTTATCTGGAAAATCCAGTCGCTTTTCATATGCTTGCCACATGCGTTGCATCATATTTCATTGCTGCTGCTGCTGCTGCTGCTACTGTTGCAGCTGCCGCGGAATTATGCTTCAATTTAACAGGCCGCGAAATGTTGCCAGCGTTACTCTGGCTGCTGCAGCTGCGCTTTAATTCAAGCAATTTGACAAGCGCCTTCGCTCGGCTGCTGATCGCGCTCGTAATGAGTTTCGGAGCCGGATTTAGCTGCGCATAGTCTGCTGCCCGTCCTTTTATATTTCACTTTTTTGTTTGCCTCTGAGCCATACACATGTTGCAACAGCAATTCAAATGCCACTTCTGCTTCTCCTCCTTGCCACTTGCAACTAGACAGACGCATTGCTTCGAGCCATAAATTAAATGCCTCGACGAAGCAGCCCTGCTGCTGCTGCTGTTGACGTCTGCTGACATTTTGGTTTTTGCTCAAGCGACAAGCTTATATTTCTTTTCTAGAGCAGCTAATGCTTAAAGAAGCGTTTCATAAATATGTTGTATATGTATATGTGCGCATATGTTTACAAACTGTAATGATAGTTGGGTTACTATAAAAATAGGATTTTTTTTAGCTATTTTTTGGCCGAGAATAAGTTAATCTTCAGCTTTAATACGTTTATTCTTAATACAAAACTGTAGTTTATTTATAGAAATTTGTGCTTTTAATTTTCTTATGAATTTTATCAGTAATATAATCTATGAGGAATTCCAAATTCACTTTGCCTTCTCACGCTTTTAGTATATACGTCAAATACCAAAGGCAAAATCTGTTCCTCTCTCTGTCTCCCTCTCTCTATATCTATTCGTATATCTTTCGCCTTCTTCATATCCCTCTCTTTGTCGCTCTCGCTGTATATAGCTTTCTATCTGTGCCTTCTGCTATCTATCCCCCTCACTCGCTCTGCATACATATAACTTGCTCTCATTATGCCTCACTCTCTCCCACTCGCTCTCTCTCAATGTCATTTCCTACATTACGTTTGAAGTCATTGAACTTTAGTCGTTTGTATAAGCAACAAGTGCTTATTCAAGTGCTGTCTCGAGTGCTGCCTAATTAGCTGTCGACTGATCAAACAGCCCTCGTGAACTCGCAATTTAAATAAGCAACAACAACAATTACAGCTAGAGAAGGAAGCGGGGCTGTTATTTTTTGGCTAATTAATTACGCCCTTTTGTAAATTTTTAAGACAAACAATTCATCAAAAATTCAACTTGGCTGACTGCTAATGCGTTTGGTTTTGTCTGCTGGGGGTTTGGGGTTTGGGCTTGGGCTTTTGGCCTTTAACGAAGCGGATGAAAGGTGCGCGTGGGGGCGTTCTGTTGACAACAACAACGTGAAATTACGCATACGCCACGTGTGCTGTCAGCTAATAATCCTTTAACATTTATGAACGCCTTATTTACCTGCGAGTACTAAATCATGTTGCCACATCAATTAATTTCAAGTAAACAAGGACGCCAACGCGTTGCCACCCAGCGTTGCCTTTGACACTGACTGACTGCCGCCACGGCCGCACCCCCCCCACCGCCCTCTCGTACTCTAACTGATGACTGAGCCGCCCAGCTGTCTAAATCACTTTTGTGCGTTTGCCTCAACGTGATCAACGCCCCAGCAACTTGGCAAGCAAAAGAAAATGAGTTGCCTCATTTTTCTCTGCGTTTTTCCTGTGTTTTTTTCCTACTTTTTTACTAACAACATTTGCGAGCTTTGTGACTGCTATAAATGTGGCCATAGATGTCTTGTCTTGATTAGTATATGAATTATTTTTGGTTTTATTGATTTTGTGTGAATTTCAATCAAAGTACTAAATAAGACTGAGATATTGGTGAATAAATATTTAATATAAATAATAAACAAATAAATTATAATATATACATAAAATGATATTATAAATAATGTTTAGTGAAGCTTTAATTTCATTTCATTTTTGTAGTTTGAAGAGTTGAATTTCCTGATTTGATCAGACTCTCTTGCCCTGTTGATGACACAAAAGATAATTTCGTATTCATTTGCTATTCCATTATCTAGCTATACATAGGGTATATACTTAGTTAATACTATACATACTTATGCTTACGTACATCACTTTGTTTCACCTTTCAGATACACCTGTTTGCAAGCACACGGATCGCGTTATACTAATTGGTGCCTCCAAGGATGAGACTGTTGAGGTTATATGCGAGATTCAAGCGGATCCGCCGCCACGGTATGTATTAACAAAAAAAAAAAATAAACAAGAAAAGAAAAACAGAAAGGAAAATTCGTTGCCCTGCAACCCTTCGCTCGCAAAGGTTTTCCTTTGCTCGCCTTCTTTTTGTTGTAGGCAATTGCTTCCGGTTTCCTGTTGAATGGAAGTTTGCTAAATTGACAAATGGCTGTAATTGTGTGTGTGTGTGTGCGTGTGTGCTTGCGTGGGTGTGCGTAACGGAAAATGCTGTTTATATGTGAGGAAATGTGCGAAATTCAACAATATTTTGATTTGCCGACACTTCAAAGCTTTGTCCTCGCTTGCCACGCCTTTGTGTTTGTGAGGCACTTTAATTTATTTTAAATATGCAGCTGCCGCCGCTGAGGGCGCCAGAGTGGAGGGGTGGGTGGAGCACTGGTGGTGTTCACTGCTGGACTCTGTTAATTCGCATTGCCACATTTGCCCCACTTTAATGTTTTTTTAATGAGCCAGCCGCCGCTTTCGCATCACAACGCACCGCTGTGGCCTGTCGGGCGACTTTATGCTTCTCTCTCTGTCTCTCTCTCCCTCTGTCGCTTTCTCTGCGTCTGTCCAGCTGCCTTGTCTTGTATTTAATTTCAATTTTTCGTTCTGTTTTCCTTTTTTTCTGTGTTAGGGCTTGCTTGTGTTGCTGTTTTTGCTGTTGTCTGTGGCTGCGTCTTGAGTTGACGCTTTATGCTAAAATAATTAATCATTAGGTGGCGCAAAATATGCGCGTTGTTGCCGCTGGCAGCGCAGCTGCCCGCTGTAATTGTTGTGGTACAGCTGCGAGAGGGAGCTCTAGGCTGGGCGGGACGCCTCGCCCGGGGGCCGTTGCTCAGCTTGAGCATTAAAAAAACTGCTGCAGACTTTTGAGGCTGGCTAAGGGGCCATGCGCTGCTGGGCTAGCCCAAGGTGGGCGGCTACAAGTTAATTTATCAGCATTTAACTGCTTGACAGCGATGCCAGCTATTTTGTTGATCCTCTTTTTTCCGGTATTTCTTTTTCTATTTACGTAATTTTTAAATTAAAGTATCATTTGGTTGAAAGTGCAAATCATCGCATAGCATAAGAACTTAAGCAGAAATCTTTAAAAATAGAAATTGTACGTCTAGTCTAACGGAGCACTTATTTTAACAGTGATGCTAACATAGCGTAATTTTGCTTCTGTTGTCGCTATTGTATGCATATACAACTTAACGAAAGGAACTTGGACAGTTCTTCTAATTATGCGCTCAAAGTCGTATAATAACATATTGCTGTTAGCGCTGCTGTTCTCTCTTCCGACTGTTAAATACCTAGCTGTTCACAGTGGGGTCAAGCGCTGGCATTTAACAGCGCTGTTAATCCAATATCTTCGCTTTTTGTAAATTTTTTGTGATTTTTATGCTGCAACAGATACTTTATTGATTGATTTCATTAATTTAATATGTATGTATATACATGTTTTATACATATATATATTTACATATAGTTATTAATAATTTATGAAGGCAGTGAGAAAAACGAAAGCGTCCAATCGAATATGCCAGAGATAATTAACCTTTTAAGAGCCTTTCCGTGTGCGAGGGAGAGTTAACTGTTCATCTGCGGTGCTCCACTGTATGACTGTGATAGTATGTGCGTATGTATGTTTAACCTTTAATATTTTAACGAGCTATTTTAAAAATGTAAGACTTTTCAAACATACCTCACTTTTCTGCGTCTCTCTCTCTCTCTCTCTCTCTCTTTCATACGCCATACGCTCTTTCTTCTGAACTGATGTTTCTGCCTTTTGCATGCACTTCCCACTGACAACGCAACTGTCAAAATGTCAACGAAACACAAACAACAACAACGACAACAATGATAAAAATAAAAAACAACAAACATATGCAGGACATTTCGCTGGAAATTTAACAACTCAGGCGAAACTCTGGACGTGGGCAGTGAACGATTCAGCGTGAATGGAAGCCGCAGCATTTTAAAGTACACTCCAGTTACGGATCAGGTAAATGCCGTCTACCTTGACCAATTAAGAAGCATACATATACAATAAGTCGCTTCTGTACATAAATATGAGTATTTTTCTACTTTAAATATTTGCAGGATTATGGTACACTGTCCTGCTGGGCGGCTAACGAAGTGGGAACACAGCAACAGCCCTGTCTCTTTCAAGTAGTTTTAGCAGGTAAGTTGACAGTAGCTCAACTACATATGTTAACGAGTATTCACTGGAAAGGCTGCTACGCTTAATCATCTGCATAAGCATTCGCTAGATAACTCAAATGTCTGCAGATGCTACAAAGAGCACTCGCTTTTAATCCCGATTCATGACTGAGCTACACAAAAGTACAGAGTGCGAGGAAGTCAGATGCACTGTATGGATTACATCACTAATAGAAAGTGCATATCGAAAGAGCGGCCATTGACGTAAAGAGTATCGAAAATAGCTCAGCCATTATCGCTCTTTGTTGTGATTCCCTTTCGTATGCTTGCGAAGCAGCGAGAGGAGAGTGGTTATTGTTTAGTAACACGAACAGAAAGAGTCACTTAACAGGGCAGCCATTGCTGTGCAGAGTGAGGGAGATAAGTCTATTGGTCACAGTAGTCATTATTGCGCTTTGGTGTGATCCCGATTCATTCGCTTATACTGCAGAGCAAGGAGAAACGGTAGTGAAAGTGTGAGTGGGAAAGCTGTATTGCAGGGTATTGCAGAAAAGAGAACATTGCTAAAAGAAGTAGTCTGAGGCGTCATTATTGCTCTTTGTTGTGATCCTGAGTTATTGCGCGTTACTATAGAGTAAATAGTACAGCAAGTATTAGAGTGAGAGGGTAAGCTATAATGCTTGAAATTCAGCAGGTATTTATCCGCAGATTGGCCATTTCTGTGTTGCAAATTTAAATTCATGCGCCTTGTTTAAGCGTAGCAACTGTTTTCTGTACTTTTGGCTATTTGGTGAGTCTTTCACTTTTGACCCCAACAAGTTAAGGCCACAAGCAAACACTCATGGGACTCTCTGTAACAACAGAACAACTGTTCATGGCTCTTCTTTCTCGTTTTCTCGTTCATGTTAATTTGCTGCACAACCTGTAAACATTGGACCCCATAAATCCCAATCTGGACCATCTGGGTGCAGCTCTGCCAAATGGCGTCAGCAATTGCAGCATCTTTAATCGCACCGAACTCAGTGTTGACATACAATGCATACCCGGCTACGATGGCGGCCTGCCACAGATATTTGTGCTCGAAATGTTTTCAACACGCACCGGCATTACCAGGTAAGCATATTAATCAGCTACACGTATAAACCGACAACTACAACAAACGGACGGCCGCACACAGAGAAAGCACGTTTTCCCCTGTGGATTGCTTATAAGCGGATTACGTTTGGCAACTTAGCTTAACTCCCGCCCCAAGGCTCAGCTTTTCAGCATATGTCAAAAAAGTCAAATATGCGATTAAATATTACCTGAGGTTAATCAAACTGGGTCGCAAGTGTATTAATAACGTACAAGAAAGAGTTGAGCAGAGCAGCAACACAAACCAGAAGTTTTAGCTTTATAATATATGCGGATTTAAGTCTATCCAAAATAATATAGGTAGGAATATTGTATGGTATAGTAAAGTAACTTATCATTGAGATACTTTTGTATCTAACAGTTCAACAAGTATCTATAGCAACTCATATGTAAAGATATGTATACAGAACATTATTTATAGAGTAAATATAAATAAATGATGTACCACACCCACATTTGCTCCCGCGCACAATAGAAACCGCCTCCTTCTGCATATGACAGCTTCCTTAAAGCAATATTATTCAATATCAGCGGGGCGAAAGGCCAGGCATAAATGTATTCGCACCCACACCTGCTGCTCTTAGCAGCGGGCGGGTGGGTAATTAGGCATAAAAGAGAAGGCCTTCGGGCTAAGTTGTTTCCATTCCAAACGTTTTGCCAGCGCAAATCAACAATTTATATGCATGTCAAATGCGTGTTTAAAAAGATGCGCATTTTATTACAGAGTCCAGACCCAAAAATCGAATCGTATTCATATGCACACACGCACGCACACACATGCACACACACAACATTATGCGGCAGGCAATGTATAAATTTTCTCGAATCGAATCGAGGCAAAACCGCAAACATTTAATAAATATTGCTTATTAAAACAATGGTAAAATGGCCTGAAGGGAGCTGTGTTCTTTGGGCAGCAGCTCCGGAAAAATATCAAAGGACCCTCATTCAAAAAGACTGCGCTAAAACGCAACAAACGTCGTCATCAATGTAAAAATGTTTGTTGAAGCAAATGCATGTGGGGAAAAAGAAAGAAGCCGAATGAGCTGGCCTATAACGAACTTTAAATACTCTATGAAGAGATAGAGCTAGAGTAGAGATAGAGATAGAGATAGCAGATAGAGCATCAGAGATAGAGATAGAGATCGCGCTCGCGACACTAGAGAATGAGATAGAGATCGCGATAGAGATAGAGATAGCGCATAGAGATAGAGATACGATAGAGCTCGTCGCTCGAGCTCGAGCTCGCGATAAGCGCTAGCGCTCGCAGATCGCGACTTGAGTCGCGCTACGCCTCGGAGCTCGCGCTCCGCTCGCAGCTCCGCTCCGCGCTCGAGCTCGCGCTCGAGCTCGCGCCGCGACTCGCGTAGCGCTCGCGCTCGCGCTTCCGCTCGCGCTCGCGCTCGCGCTCGCGCTCGCGCTCGCGCTCGAGCTCGCGCTAGCGCTCGCGCTCGCGCTCGGGATAGAGATAGAGATAGAGATAGAGATAGAGATAGAGATAGAGATAGAGATAGAGATAGAGATAGAGATAGAGATAGAGATAGAGATAGAGATAGAGATAGAGATAGAGATAGAGATAGAGATAGAGATAGAGATAGAGATAGAGATAGAGATAGAGATAGAGATAGAGATAGAGATAGAGATAGAGATAGAGATAGAGATAGAGATAGAGATAGAGATAGAGATAGAGATAGAGATAGAGATAGAGATAGAGATAGAGATAGAGATAGAGATAGAGATAGAGATAGAGATAGAGATAGAGATAGAGATAGAGATAGAGATAGAGATAGAGATAGAGATAGAGATAGAGATAGAGATAGAGATAGAGATAGAGATAGAGATAGAGATAGAGATAGAGATAGAGATAGAGATAGAGATAGAGATAGAGATAGAGATAGAGATAGAGATAGAGATAGAGATAGAGATAGAGATAGAGATAGAGATAGAGATAGAGATAGAGATAGAGATAGAGATAGAGATAGAGATAGAGATAGAGATAGAGATAGAGATAGAGATAGAGATAGAGATAGATAGAGGTCATCCTCTTTGATTTTCCTTACTTTGATTTATTCTATGGAAACTACGAGCAAACCGTTTGAATAAATTACTCATATTTTTGTTGTTGTTGGAAATAGAGCAAAACTTTTTTTTTCGTCGTGAAGAGAATAAAATTCTCTTTGAGACGAAATGCATTGGTATGTGTTATCTTTAGTTGTATTGATAATATAGTGTGTTAAACATTGCGCACTGCAAAAAAAACATGCTGTTCGAATTAATAGTGGTTGGGGCTCGTAATAAAAAAGCTGAACCTTTTTAGCAATAATTATAAATTCAGATTCAGATTCAGATTTCTAGTCTTCTCTCACATTCTATATATTCATTCCTAAAGGTTATCCAGGCACATTACATATTGCTTCATGAATCTCTAATGCCTCAAACCGAGAGCATTCGTGGGGATGAAAAGATGATGCAAAATGTATATAGACATTGAACCCTAATATTTCAGAGTTTGGCAAAAAAATAAAAAAGAGGAAAAAGCGAGGCAAGAGACAGAAGACAAGTGAAAGCCGCAACAAGGCAAAAGGCATCAAATTTAAATTGAGGTCATGATTGGAGCAATGCTTTGGTTGGATTTGGGCTTCAGTTGTGTGTGTCTGGGGTATTGGGTTGGGGGCTTCGCTTGATTTGGGCCGCATAGTCCAAGGCTGCAATGTGAAAGGCGTAAGCTGCCAAAAAAAATCTCTCTCTATATATATATATATAGATATTTGTAAGAGGGTTTCTGTGCCAAGCTGACATTTGATTGCACATGATTAAGGGCTTAGAGCTGTTGATTTGCCGTGCTGATTTAATAATACATAATAATAATAATATTTTTGGGATGGCTTTCGATGTCTTTGATCAGATTCAATCTGAGCAACGCGGAGGAGGCGCTCTTCTCGCTGGAGAATCTGGACACGCTCACCTCGATGATGATGCAGGAGAACAACTCGTTGAGGCTGCGCATTTACTCTTACAATCAGAAGGGACGCAGTGCAGCCTATCTGTTGCCCGATTTCATAATTGGCTCAACAGCTTACAAGACAGGTGAGTGGCACGCAACAGAACACGCACACACAAATACACTCAAGCGGCTAGGCTTGATTGATGGATGGGAATTGTAGGGCTGCTACTTGCATTTGACACAGGAAAGCAGCCTCTCAGAGCGTAGCTCGCTCGAGTCAGCTGCTTTTCAGTGATTTTATGTTTTAATCCCAGGCCAGTGTTGCCTACTCGCCCACTTGCTACTCCACATATGGCGGCGACACTTGACAGGTACCAGAGTCATCTGCAGTACTTACATAATCAACATGCCCGACTTCTGCCTCTGCTCGGCGGCGCATGGGCCACAAATTTGCTGGCTTAAAATTATGTGTAAAATGACTTTCTGATGTGCCAGCTGCAGTAGCAGCGCACAGTGATTGCATGATTATATCTATGATGCTTATAATATATGAAAAGTACATGAAAATATATATGAAAACATTCCAGAGCTGAATAGCAGCTGTGCTCATTCGACTGCATAATATTCATTTAATTTACTCATTTAATGGCAGCTTAAAATATTACATTTATTATAATTCATTTATTATTATTATTACTCATTTAAAGGTTTTCAATTTATAGTTTAATTGATTGTTTGTCTTTGAGTTGCCGACTACAAACCTTAAACTAAAGCAATAAAAAACCTTTTTTGCATTCTGAGACATGTGGAATGACTGAACTCAAAACCTTTTCTATTTCTATTCGTTGTAAGATCCATGAAGGCATGAGAACTCTGTATTAACAAGAGTTTTTCTGACTTAAGTAGTGTCAGCTAGTTAACACCTCACAATTTTGGAAGTCAATCTTTTAATATGCATAATTATATTTTGCTTACATTTTAATAGAACTCGCCCCACTGTGCGCTGTCTTATATTACAAATTTAACTCATGTTCACTTTATTAAATTCTTTGCATTTTCATATGCCAACACCAATCGCCTAAAAATAAAACTGCCAAACATTAACTTGAATGGAAACGTCTCTATGGCACACACACACACACATATATATATATTTATATATGCTTATGCATATGTGTTATATCTGCGATGACCGATGGCAATCTATCTAAAATTGACGATGATTTATGACGGGCGATTGTCAACCTGCAATTACGACAACAACTGATGACAACAATAATAACGATAACAGACGACGACGTGACGCTCACGCTGTCACCGGTGATTGTTGGCAGCGTTCTAACCATCATAATTATTGGGGTAGCCATCGCGATACGAATCTTTGTGGTTACATTCGTGCACAATCTGCGACGCAATCGCCAGCACGGCAACAAGGCGACGGCGGCAGGCGTTGTCGCCCAATCGGGCGATGTCTTTAAGGTGAGTGCAAAGGAAACACACAATTTCCCACTTTCCACATTGCACTTTAGTTATTTTCTGATTTTCCACTCGCATGCAATTAATAATGTTTGATGACATTTTGCAGAGCAACAACCTGGAGAAGCCGCGCTGGCAGCACACGGACATAAAAACGAAATCATCTGAGGATTTGGTCGAGGACGAACGTGATCCAGATGTAATACCCTCACAATACGGTAAGCTACTTACAACATGTTGCTATCTCAGCTCACTCAAGCAGCTGCCCAAACTCATTACTAAGTCAAAAGCTCAACTAACTTACGCTAGTTAGAGTATTGTTAACTATGCATTCGACTTGGCGTTCGGCTTGCTCTGTGCGGGCTCGCTTTGATATTTTATAGCAGTTTGTGTGTTAAACTTTAATCAAATTTTTATGGCTACTTTTCCAACATTTACTTGGCATGTGTCTGTCTGGCTGCTGCCTGATTTCTGCTTTGCGGACAACGCGTAATCGTTATCAATCTCATCAACGCAACAATACGACCAATAACAACGACAACAACGACGACCGCTACCACGGCAAACCAATCCGAAATGGAACCAAAAACCAATCCAATCCAATCAACGGATGCAATTTTCTTTTAATCGTAAATATTTTTAACGATGGCATACGCCAATCTAAAACGCAACCGCATCCTCACATGGTAACCGTACTCGGACTCCGACTCGCACTCGCACTCGGACGCCCGAAAACGTGGCAACAACATCAATAAATTTCAATCGCACAGTTGGCGGCAGCAGCGCTGGGAGCAGCGGCAGCAATGCCTCCAATGTTGGCAGCACCACAGCCACTGGCACAGCCACCGGCAGCAGCACATCGACAGCGGTGGCGGCAGCTGCGACTGCAGTCGACCGCGATGCGCATCAGTTTGCTGCGGTAACAGCATCAGCTACAGCATCTGCAACAGCATCGGCAGCAGCAGCAGCAGCAGCTGGGACGCCATCGGCCGTTGGACTCGTTGGCAGCATTTCCAAATGGTCACCCAATGGCAATGTAAGTAGCAAATGAATTGTATACCAAATGAGCAATATAGATATATATAGATTATATATATAGATTATATATATATGTATATATATACACATATACATAGTTTGATTTGTCTTCAAATAAAATCTGAAACTTAACTCAGCACTTTTTATGCATCATTCAACTAAAAATTGTCTGAATTTCAACTGAAATTGTCTGTCAACAAATTGTATTATTAATTGCCTGAATTAGACTTAAAGTGTATTATATATATAAGGGTATTAAGGACTTGAATATATGACATATGTATGATATAATGAAGAGCTTGTTTAATAAGTGAATTATATACCCAAATCTAATCTTTACACAAGCGCAATCAAAAATTTTGACAGTCATTTGATTTGATTAGGAACTTTTAGAACAGTGAATATTTTATATAATTAGTTTAATTAGTGAATCAAATAATCAAATATGAACTGGCCTTCAAATGAGCTCTATATCTATCTCTATATGCCTTGGCATTAATAATCCATTTATAATTATTTTTGAGAGACATTTATGCAATTAAATATAGTTGAGCTACGTTGCGTATGCGCAATATGCATATCTTATGTCTGTCTCTATTTGTACTGTTGCGGCTGCAATTGTTAATTAATATACAAATTTTTTGTATGTGTAATAATTGAAATTTATAATCGTAAAAAGATTCTATTCACATTTCTCTGTATATATGAATTAAAATTTATAGACGCTTAACGTCTACACATGCAACATGCACTGCGAGTATTTCAGATTTCACTTCAGGCAATTAGTTTGCCTTGAATCAATGCAACTTAGAAGTTAAAAGTTTTCTATATTAGTGACTTTCTGTCATTGGCTGTCAGAATTAGTCAACTTTTAAGTCAAAGCATTGCCTCTATGCAGCTTCAAAAGGGAAAAGAAAGTCGTATCGGAAATATGGAATATAATTAAAGAAACGGCAGCCCGAGCGGAACAGGAATCGCTTGGAAAGTGGGAAAAATGCGTTTGAAGCCAGCAGCTCAGTGATTGCCTCTGCATTTGCATTGGCATTTGATTGACTCGGCTTTTGGCTATCTATGTTTATTGGCCTGGCTTGGAACGTTTCGAATTACTGCCTCGTGCCAGGTTTATTTTGTTGGTTATTATTAGCCACGCTGTCAATTTTGTGTGCTCCACTTTCTTTTATGCGGCTTTTGGTTTGCTTTTGGGTTTTTTCCTTACGCCAAAAAAACCAATCAAATACTCAAATTGCCAAATTGCTAAACAAAAGTGTGGACAACCGCAGCACGGGCATCAAATTCCAATTCAAAAAATGAAAGAAAAAAAAACTAAAAACCCCAAGCCAAAAACCTCAGACTGAAACCCCAAAGCATGCCAAAGGGTGTTTATTAAAAAAAGCTTTTAAACTGTCAGAGCGGGCGCACGGATTGCCGCCCCTCTATTCGGGAGTTATAAATAAAAGCCATTCACTAAGTCCTGGGATAATGCGGCAAGCACTGCTGGTATTGCAACCAAACAACAGGCAACAGGCAACCAGCCCCGAGCTAGCGACAAGGTAATTGCGAGCTACTCTCCTTATTTCGCCCGTTAACAAACACAATACATCATGTCGAGCTAACCATAATCAATCAATATTCTCAGTATTTTTATATTGCTCCACAGACGGCGGGCTGTAGCGGAGCGGGACGGGACGGGACGGGACTTTGTGGCCGTAAATCAGTTGAATGTGATTGAATGTGCAACATGTGTGCGCTATAAGTTTTATAGAAAAGGAAAATACAATAGAAAAGTTCCTGAGAAATCTTGAATATGCAGAGTGTGGCATTACGAGGAGGGTGGGAGGTGCAAGCAGCGAAAGAGAGAGAGAGAGAGAGGGACAGTGAAGAGAGCTGTCAGCTCTCTGAATGATGCTTCTTAATAATGCTGATAAAATGTTTATAGCGTGTAGAATGAGGCGTGGCTGGCTCTATAATGTTGAAGTATTTCTGATCAGAAGCATTTGTCTATACGTCTATTGAAGTCTTTCAGAGCTGAAGACTTAAAAGACTCATTTTATCTCTCATCTCATTCTATTGATGTTAGCTTTAGTTCGTTGAGCATTTACACACGTTGTAAGAGCTAGCGACACCAAAAAGTTCTACGTTTTGTATAAACAAAATCCTTAAAGCTTCTAGTACCTAAAAAAAACCTTAATATTAGCTATTCAAATGATGCTGCCGAACTTCGAAGAGAGTTTGTTTTTTTTTAGTATATTTTCACATATTCAATGGAATTATAAGCAAGCCTGACCACAGCATTAAAACTTGTATTAAATTTATAAGTTAGCTGAACTAAAATATGGTAATCTGAAGCCTTTGAGTACTAACAAATTTGAGTGAAATTTATTTAATTTATGTTTAAAATATTTCAAGAGCATTTTCTTATTTTAAAAAAGAGTTTATCTTAACAGAATTTTCTGATAAGATTTGTGATATAATGAGCTCTCATAGTTATCACAGTTAAACAGGTCAAGTTATATAAGCTAGGTCTATCAAAATTGTAAATTAAAATATTTATAAAATTTTCCTACCACAATAAATTAATTTGTTTTTCATATGTTGAACATTTCTAAAACGCAATTCACACAGTTTTCACATTTCCGATTCATATCAAATATTCCACTTTTATTTTAAGTAAAAACAATTAAAACATTTATATACAATTATAATTTTAATAAATGCATAAATTTGGGACAGCGAATGTGTTTGCACTATTTATTATTTCTTTAAAATATTCCCATTCTGGCTTTTTTGTTGTTGGCTTTCATTATATATGCAAAATGGGCGGAGCTGTGCATCTGCGCTCGCTCAACCATTTGTTTTCATTTCATTAAATTTGCAATTAGAGTTCATTTATGGATTTCGGTTTCGACTGGTCGAGATACCCGGCATTAACATAAGCTGTTCCGAGTGCGATTAGAATGCTCCCTGCTCCTGACCATATGGCCAGCAGAGAACAACCAATGAATATCCATATCTGTCATATATACTATATATATATATAAATATTATAGCATATATGCAAATAGTTCACTAATCTGACCTGAAAACTGAAACAGAACACACTAAGTCTATGCCCAATGTCAAACCAAAATTAATGTTAAATAGATGGAAGTGTTTTAGTGGTGTGTACTCGGCTAAGATATATCCTGTAAATAAAGAAATGAAGGTCGTGCCAGTGCAAATGTTTAAGGAGAAAGGGCTTAGTAATGTGTGCTCTACTACTAGATACCCTGCACTCAACTAACTTCAGTGTTTCAAGATACAACTGTAATTGCTTAAAAAGTAGATAGTCGACTAGAACATACCCTGCGACTGAATAACCTGAGTATTACAGGTGCGCAGAAATGTTTTAGAGGGAAGCTATAGACTAGAACATACCCGGTACTTAGATAATTAATGTTGAACACGTTAAAGTGTTTAAAGTATGTGCTCAACTACGACTACCCTGTAAAAGAGACAGCCGTCATTGATTAAAATTCTATTGAATTGTCAAATAAACAGCTCTACGAACATATATTCATTCATACCTTCGCCCATTGCTTTTTTTACACTGCATAAAGAACATTTTGAGGAGATAAACGCCAGCCTGGGCTGCTGGGCACTTGGGGCAGTAAATGGAATTTCGCTGCACTGATGTCAATTACATTTAAATTACCAGCAGGCGGCGCGGGGGCGTGACGCGTGCGCATATTGGGCATAACTCAATTCGTTAATTAAATAATTTTAAATATTGGCAAACATAACGCAAACAGGAGCAACGTGGCAATGGCAAACTGCGCAGCAACAACTGTGGGCAATGCAATTCAGCAATTCGGCAATTCGGTAATCGCATCGAGAGATTTTCAATTAGAATTTCCAATTCAACTGCCAAATATAAAAAGAAATGCTTTTTTCTATAATCAAGCGTTCGCTTTTCGTGCATTCACAATATTTTCGACTGGCTGTTCACAATTTGGATAAAAATGTGAATACGCTTGAAATCATAATAGGATTAAAGTTCATTAAGCATATGAATATAAATGAATCTACACACAACACAGCCCAAATACGATAAGATGTACTTAGCATTGATTTATCGCAAAACAAATAACATAATTGAATATAGTGTTTTTATTATAGTTAGCAAATTGGTTTGGAGCATTATAAAATTTAAATAACGATTTTGATTAGACTATTTTGATTTTTGTGTTGAGCTTCATGTTGCTGGCTGTTTGCCAGTCTCTCTGCTATCAATTTTAGACAACTAAATATTAATAAGTATCTTTTAAACTTTTATAAGCCCAAGTCCAAATAGGTCTTAACTAAATATCAACTACTGATTCGTCGTCAGCTAGGCTATAACAAGTTGAGAATTCTATTTTTGACTTTAAAAATTTGCATGTAAATTAACATAAACTCTATAGACATATCCTTTAGTTGCTTCTAGCTTTTTATACTGACACTTTAAATTGTATAGAAATTTCGTCTAAACAAGTTAGTGTTTTAGCCTAGTTACACTGGCAAATTGCTGAATGCCGCTGCCAAAATAGCAGCGACTGTAGCTGGCTGGCATACAATATTTATTGCCCAGTGCAAAGCTTCCAGCTGAGTGATTCTTATGCATGTTTCTAACTTTTCTATGCACATCTGCTTGCAGGCAGCGGCCATGACGACGACTACGGCGCTGTCCAGTGATCCGGCGAATCCGCCGGTCACCTACAACCAGATCAATGCACAGCGCGCGCAGCTGCTGGCCGCCGTTGCAGCGGTTGGCGGTGGCTGCAGCAGCACCGTCATCTCGCCCAGCAGCAGCATGATGGGCAGCCTGGGCATGGGCATGGGTATGGGTGGCGGGAAGCCGTTGACACTTGGCATGGGTGGCACCATCATTGGATCGCCCACATCGCTCTCCTCGACCTCGACGCTGGCAGCGCATTTACAGCCGGCGCACAGCAGCGGCGTCGGCACTCTGCCGCCCGGCCTGGGCAGCGGCGGTGGCTATATACTGAATGCCTATGCTAGTGGCAGGCTGCAGCATACGCAGGGTCACACGGCCACCTTGAATCGCCATCAACATCAACAGCAGCAGCACCACCACCAACAGCAGCATCATCATCAGCAGCAGCAGCATCAGCCTGGGTCCGGTTCCAGCTTGCTGCTGGGCAGTGTGGGCAGCGTTATGGGCGTGGGCGTCACCTCGACAACAACCACCTCATGCAACTCGTCCCAGGATTTGGATGACAACATCAATATAAATGCGATAAAGGATTGCCTCATGACGCAACGTGTGCCCGAAAGCTGCGTCTAAGTGGCGAATTATAAAGTCTAGACTCTAGACCTTCGACTATAGCGCTACGGTTAAGAGAAGCAGACGTACACACCTAGATCTAGACCTAGACTAGATAGTCAGCTAATCGTGTTAATTATATATATATATATATATAAAGATATATATGTGTGTAAGTAGTTGTATGTATATATAAATATGTCATAGTTCTGTTCTCGTTAAGGTGCTGTGCATAGCTAAGTTCTATTCCTTATGACCATCTGGCATATCTTCCGCATAGATTTCAGGGCATATCCTTTCCCAATATCAGAAGCGAAATACCGATAAACGCATATCCACAAATCAGTTATTGAATCATATCAGTATATATATACTATATAAATGTATAGTTGAAACCAGAAATGCGACTCAGTCAATAAATCGATAAGTTATCGATTACATATCGACAAATGGATATCATTCAGTAAAATTTGCAATTCAGTTTAAAGCAAAATTATAGCTGCATAGCTATAGAAGATGTTCATATTCAGTTCTTCTACTATTCGAATATGTTGGCTATATCTCTTTAGATCGGAATATCCTTTTTAAAAACTGAAAATTCTCAACATTTACATTAACAGAAAAAGGAAAAGTAGATTAAAAAAAACTCTAAGAAGAAATCAGTAAGAATAATAAATAAAATTAAGGCAACTTCAACAAGACTCTGAAACTTAGTAGAAAATTTTATTTGTAGCAAAAATGTTCCCAGAGAAGAAAGGAAATCCGCAGAGATCGGAGATAGAAGTATTACGATTAGGTTTACTTGTAAATAAATAAACTCCTGCATAGTTAAATACTTGTATAAAGCAAATCTATATGTAGACTATGATTTTTGTTGTATTTGTATGTATATTTATCGATATATTGCTAACTGCTAACTGTAAATGCAGTTCTATTCGGTGTGAGAGTACCCGTCATCAGATCGGGAATGTCCTGCATAGTAAAAGTAAATATATATATATATATATATATATATATAGAAAAAGTAAAGATAAAGATGATGCAAATTGTTAAAGCGCATTGCGCTTAAGCAGAATTTAATGAGAGTTTTAGTTAAAAGAAAGTGTGTTAGGTTAAAAAAAAAAACAGAAAATCTATGCATACAAATTGGTAAATCAATTAACTAAGTCATCAAAAGTGTGACAAAAAATATGAATACTAAGAAAATGGTAAAAATAAAATTATTAATTATTATAAAAATATTCAAATTCGTTTTATTTCCAACGAGGTGAAATCATGAACGCAGCTCAAGTCTTTTTGAGAGCTTATGGGTAAGTACATTATATTTATCGATTGATTAAATGCAATCGATCAGGAATGCGTATAATTTTCCAGACATTCAAAAAGAATCTGCCTTGGAAAATCAGCAACTTTTTGAAACTTTCCATAGACTCTTTGAGGAAACTTAACAAATATTCAAACAATTAAATGTTTCTATCGTATATCGATAGTTGTGCTCATTCACAGTAGGATCTATTATGGGATAATATAGTCAATGCATCTATCGAATAATTAAAAGATCGATAATTGAGTAATAATAATAGATGCAAGCTTCGTGAGTAATAAATATTTATCAAATATCACAACTCACGAAAGACTCGTTAGAAAATATGCTTATGAGCAATCGAACATCGATAAGTTGCTATATATGCAAAATCAAAGAACTTTCAGTCGTTGGCTCAATCTGAGAACATTAGCAAAAGCTTAAGTAATTATCGAATATCGCAACTATCGATAATATAGCAGTTTCCTTAGCTACTCAGTATTTTAGGTACTTTGATAAGATATAAGCGTTAGTAAATTGACAAAGCTGTGATCGATTATCGATAAATTAGCTGTCAGTGCTTGATCAAATCGAAATCCTTCATCTGAACTCCTACATGAACTCTTCGAGTAAACAAAATTAATATTGAAACTATTCAATGTGACTATCGAATCACAATTATCGATAATTAAAGAGCAAACAGTTGTTTACAAACTTTCTTAGCATACAAAACTTATACGAACTTAACTCTTTGATTAAATACAAGCAATTAAAACTATACGAAATCTATCGTATTTGGCAGGTATCTTTAATTTGGCAGCGTTAGCTGGTCTCCCTCAGCAATAAAAAACTTTTTACTTTCTTATTCATTTATCACACGTTCAAATATAATTTTGGGTGACCCACATCCACAGCTGGACCAATTAAAACCGCTGTTCAAATACGTGCCACAGCTCTGGGGGCCAAACCGCAGTTGGCCAACATACCACACTTGATAAGCCGCAAGAGCTGTTGCCGAGGCAAGTGGGGGACGAAAAAAACTATTTTAAATTTCATATGGTCTCGACTCGGCTCATTAGCAAATCAAATTTATACAAGACACGAGATATATTTCTGGCCAAGTCAGGCAGGCAGCTCGAAACTCAAGCCACCCAAGCGACGAACCACCCATGGTTGACCACACGAAACTTTTTGGACTGTAACAAAATTGACAGGAAAAGTGAAACTTGCCTTTGATTTGTGGGCATGCCATGGAAAAATGCCTCTGCCGACAAGTTTTAGGGATTCATTTGGGTTTTGGATAATTGGAAACCGCGCTGACAGCTTGCACCCAGCTCTGGCGCTCTTTTCCTTGTGTGTGGCTCACACGCTCTTAACCTATATAGAAACACCAATTGACACCAAGGCGAACACGTGGCGCAATCTACTTAATTTGTAGTGAAACACTTTGCCGAGCCATATAATTATCGAACTTAAGTTGTTTGTCCTATTCAATTACTCGATAAATATAACGTGCAGCCCGAATTATAATGTTGCATTCGAAATAGTTCGAAAATTAATTAAGAAATATTTTTATATAGCAAACACATGTTACATCATCTGCCTCTATTCTCATAGCTAACTTTTCCATTAATTAAATTGAATTTTCATTTACTAATCAGGTTGAATGGTAGACAGATGGCTAAAGAGAGTAAAGTGATTTCAATCTTTTGCTAATTTCAGCACATTCGTATCTGTCTGCTCGGCTTGGCTGCCTATAAAGTTATCAGGCTCGGCTAGCCTCAGTTTCTCTAATTTATCTAGATACATATATCTATTACCCAATCCAGGCTACACCGGGGCACTTCAATTCACTTCCGTTACGATTTTGCTGACTTCCGTTTGCCCATTTACGCCAGTGTTGGCAACGCGAGCGCGCCTAATAGAAAACTGTTCACACGTGCTGCAAATTACACAGTTTGAAATCCCAACCACTCGACTAGCCCCACACGCACACCCACACAGCCAGTGGCTTTTCCCACAGACAGTCAGTCCGTGTGGTCAATAAATGTAAATAAAATGGACGCGAATGCCTATCCAAAGCGCCACGCCCCATTCGTCGGGTGTTATCTGAGCAAAAACAGAGCAAAAGAGAAGGAAACTTTTATAGGAATTGCATAGCGAAAATGGCAACAAAATTATGCAGGTAATTTATGTATTTGTTTTTGTTGTTTTTGTTGTTTTTGTTTTCTGTGGTTTCATTTTTACAAAATTTTTTTCGCTGCGCATTTATCGATTTTGGTCCGTGTGAAAATTAAATTCCCATTTGAAGCTGCTCTGACCCGACTATAAAGTTTTGTTAGACGTCCCTCCGCTTCCATTCGTTGCGTCGGCCCAAAATTGAATTGAAGCGCGCTGTATAAATCAGCGGCTCAATAAAATCTAATAGTCCCGGGCAGATTGCGGCGCGGCACGCACCCTGAAAGCTCAGTGCGAAACCAACGCCAAACGCTGGCTACAACTTTGGGTACGACCACATAAATTAACAGACGCTGGTGACGAACATTCGGCAACAAGGACGTGAACGTCGTCCTTGACAGTGGCAACGGCAGAGCGCGCCGTACAAAATAAAACAGCAGAGCAGACCAAAGGCCCCAAGAGATCCTTGATTAGCCGAAACAGTCATGCTCTAGTTAACCGAATTCAGTCGAGCTTATTCAGTCAAAGACAACAAACAAACTTCATGGAAGATCCTTTGCCACAGATTTTTCTATTATATGACCATGTCTAGGAATGAGACAAAACAAAAATAGTTAGTCAAAGTTTGAAAAAAAAAATAATGGATAATTAAAAAATCATTGTATTTTAATCATAGAAGTCATAAAAGAAAACTTATATAATGATATAAGAACTAGCAGAAAGGAAATGCTATATATAATTATTACTTAAAGCTATACAAGTTTTTTATATAATATACATATAATTTTAATTATTTTTTTAATATTATTAAGAAATGGAAAGCCAACAGCTTAATACAGTCATATTATATTACGCTATATACAAATTTATATTTTATTTATTTTTTTAGTATTTTTTATTTAATATATTTTATTTTATTTAATTATTTTTAGTTTGCTTTTATATATCTTCGTCTCATAAATTTTATATATAATTTAAATCAATGAAACATATGCTCAATTTATAAATTTATTAACATAGTTCAGTTGAGCAGCAGAAATATTTTAAATCAAAAGCTGAGTTAGTTCAGCAGAAACCAGAATTTTCATTCTCTAATTAAAAGCATCTTTAATTAATTAAATAAGCCTCAAGCTTCTTAAATCTTCTAAATCAAATACTGAGCTTGCTCAGAGAAAACCTGCATGAGAATATAAAAAATACATCATAAAAAGAGTAATAAGATTTAGTAATAAGAGATTTAGTAACTAGAGTAGAGTAGAGTAAATTGATTTATGCATATTGAGTAAAACTAATTTTTATTCCTAACTCTCAACTTTTCCAAATACAAAGCTGAACTCACTTTAAGCTGTAAGAACTCGCGCTTAAGTCAAAGAACTGAAATTTCACTTCTCAAGCGAAGCTTGTCAAATCTCATAACAAATTCAATGCAATCGCTTTGGCCAGAGTATGCAAAAGGGCAACTGGAGCCGTTTGGCAAATTAACTAATGACCCCATATTAGGTGCCAGGCATCTTTGCGAGCGGGCGGGGAGGTTGCTTCTATCAAAGGGGAGGGAGTTAGAGTGTGTGGCAGAGGATGGGGGAAAGCATTAGGAAATGTTGGCTGGCGCGTTTGTTTAATTGTCGTGCGACCCGCTT